AATATTGTTTTCCGTAGTGTTGATGGAAGAAACTCAATTAGCCCCCCCCCCCCCTAGAATTTTGGCTGGATCCGCCCTTGGTAGTGTTTGTTATTCACTGCATATTGACTTTAAAACTTTTGCTAATGAGAACTAAACTTACTAGCAAGGTTTTGCAAGTGGGTTTTTAAAGTTAATTTCGTGCCCTGATACTAGTTTTAGGGTTGAGAACTAGTGACAAGACTTGATTTTCCGTGTCTTTGTTTGGTAGGGAATTATTCAAGAAGTCGTCTTTCCTCTCATGTGTCACACGGATGAAGATCAGGAGCTGTGGGAGGATGATCCGTATGATTTTATTAGAGTCAAGTATGGTGAGTACATTAGTAGTATTTTCTTCGTACCATTGGCACTATCATGACCACCATTATCATCATCATTATCATCAACAACAACAGCAACAACATTACCATCACCATCATCATCATCATCATTACATATTATAATTGTGTCATCATTATTAAGACCATTTTTTATCATTCTTCATTTAGTCAGTACAACTCAAATCATGCTCAAAGTACTGGACCAATATCGACACAAGGTGTATATAGCACCGCGAGTAATACAACAGACGCTGAACTATCTGAGGAACGGGTAGGTAGTGACTGATACATCAGCACAAACCTTAACTCCAACTTTAACTTTTCTTAGCCAAATTCAATTAATATATAATCATCGATGAAATATCTATTTTTCTCTACTAAAAAGTGATATCTTCACCTGTGAAAATAACACCATTCGTAAGAATTCTTAGGAATCGCATTAAATAATAAAAATCCACCAAAATTCTATTTCATGGATAATCATATGTATATTAAAGAGAATATTACATGACGACTTGGGGATACAGATTTTATCTCCTGCTGTTGAGAATATCTTATTCGTTCACTGCTCTGCACTGCACTTTGTCATAAGATATTACCTGAACACTGGAAGATAAGATCGGTATCTCTGCACGGCCATGTAATATTCGAGCTATTTTTAAAATGTTCTGAAATGCCTTTCTCATCCTGTAGAGTGTCAAATTCAATCCATTGGAAAGTAATGCGACCACACATCCATGTAAGTGTTGGATAACAGAGCATGTCAACCAGAACATTTGTTAAAGGGGTACTTGGACGTGTATTAGAGGACTTTTGAAAAACCTTTAATATTGGGTCCAAGTACCCCTTTATACAAAAGACAC